ATTCGGTGCAGAGAGATTTTTTCACAGCAATTGCCAAAGAGCGAAGAGTGTCATATCTACGACATTTTTATGAGCGCAGAAAAATTTGAATGGAATTTTTTAGTATTTGCTATGTGCTTATTTGAACAGTTTATGAGAAGACGTGGTTATTTGAACTGTTGTTGATTGAGACTATTCAGTTTTTACATATAACTATCTTTATGAAAACTGCGAAAATCTAATCTGTTGGTAAAAGTTCTTTAGAAGTCCATAACTTTGATCTACACTGAATGCTTGTGTTATTACTTGTCACAGGTTAAATAATAGACTTCTTTTCATAGTGATGATTAGCTTAATAATTTAGTTTTCTTTGTCAAAATGTGTCCAGATGGACCCAAACCAAGTACGTCGTAGAAAGAGAAACACAGCTATCAACTTGCTCGTAGAGTACTACAACACATACATCGACCGTTCTCTCTGTTACACATCATCACATTTTGGAGACAAATGGGTTGCGGAAATGCTTGTCGGGCATCCCACAAGATTTCACAACATGTTTCGCATGACACAAGAGGTTTTTACAGATCTTTTAGAAGAACTCATTGGATCTCATGGCCTCCATGGGTCTATGAGGATGATTGACCGTGAGGACTTGGCGATTACTCTTTATATATTATAACGAGTTAATGCGTGGTGCGATGGAAAGTTTCCATCACTCATCAGAGACCATTAGCAGGTACTTCTCAGTGGGTTTGAGTGCTTTGGTGAGCCTCGTCAAACAAGTCATAAAGCCAACGGATACAACTTTTTCACGAACTCCTACGGAGATTTGCCACGATCGATGCTACATGTCATTCTTTAAGGTACTGATTTAATCTTATATTAATAAAATTTAACATGAAAGCATGACATTAATTAATGAATTACTAAACCTACATGTTTAGGATTACATCAGTGCGATAGATAGAACACATGTTGATGCACGTGTTTCAAATGATGAGAAAATTGCATTTATCGGATGTAGTGGAACCCCAACCCAGTGACATGGCAGTTTACGACTTTAATGTGTTTCACATTTATCATGCCTAGTTGGGAGGGCAATGCACATGACAGCAGAATTTTCAAGAGTGCAACACGGAATTCGCATTATAGCTATCCCCATCCTCCTCAAGGTATGTTGCGCCACAAAATATTTATTGTATTTTTTAAAATGTGAAACTGAAGGTTCAACACCTTACA